TATCAGGCATACTCAAGTAAAAAGGGTGATTGTAGCCCCGAACACTGGAAATCACTAGTCTTGAACTCCGAAGCTCTGGGATTGAGCTCTGGTTCTGAAACTTGCTAAGTCATTTAAACCCATCTCCTAGTTTTTTTGTCGTTCATTATTTGGTATTTTTGCTGTAGTGGCTTGGTGGCCCAGTGAATCGAGTCCTGGACCTGGAGTCAGAAAGAGCTAAGTTGAAATCTTTCTTCAGATACTTACTAGCTGTATATTTCTGTATATCCCTGGGCAAATCAGTTTCCTCATCTGTACAAAGGGGATAATAATAGTACCTACCTCCAAGGGTTGTCCTCAGGATAAAATGACCTATATAAATGCTAGCTATTCAGTGGATAGAACACTGGCCCTGGATTCAGGAAGACCTGAGTTCAAATCTACCTCAGACACTTGACACTTACTAGCTGTGTGACCCTGGGCAAGTCACTTCATGCCATTGCCTCACCAAAAAAAAAAAATGCTAGCTATTATTTATTATTTGTTCAACAAGGGTAATAATATTTGCTCTATTTACCTCCCAAGGTTGTTATAAGGAAAGTATTTTATAAAACTTTAAGAGTCAGTTGCTGTTATTTGAGAGTGGATAAGATGGGATGTATCTTGTGTCCCAATAAACCCCATACCAAAAAAAAAATGATTGGAAAAAAACATAAGATCATAGATTTAAAACTGCAAGGGACCTTAGAAGTCATCTAGTCCAAACCCCTCATTTTTCAGATGAGAAAACAGGTTCAGAGAGGGTGAATGACTACTTGACTCAGGTCACAGAGCTAGTAAATGACAGAATTTAGATTTGGACCTAGGTTTTCTAACTCCAAATCCAGCACATTTACCACTGTACACAGGGATGTGTGTGTGTGTGTGTGTGTGTGTGTGTGTGTGTGTGCCTGTGTGTGCCACCCAAAGTCTGATTTTGGGACCCATACCCTTTTCTGTGGAGGAATGCCATCCTGTCCTGCTAGCAACAGATCCTTGGCCTTCTTCCACTGTTACCAGGGCCTTCCTCCCTGGTGAGATGTTGACAAATGGGAAGCAGTTCAGCAAAAGCCACAAAAATGATGAAATGGTTGAAGGGAATGATTTATGAGGAGAGATTAGTGGAGTAACTGTGTGGCTTGGCAAAACAAAGGGACAGGATGACGGGGGCATAAGGCTTCTGCAGCCACAGGAGGGAGAGAGTGAAGGATGAAGACAGCAGCAGCATGAGGCAAGGGAAAGAAGGGATCAGACACTTTAGCATGACTCTCAATATCTACTCTGTTCTTCAGTGAGTTAAGATTGAAGAGATGGGAATGTTGGCCTCATCTAACCTCTGGCAAATCAGAAACATTGAGAGATTAAAGGGGTCACTTTCCTTTCCTACGGGGTGTTTATACCTTGCAATAGCAGTCATCATGTCCCCTCCCCATCCTCACCCCTATAGGTTGTTGTTCTTATTGCTGGGATCGATTCAGTCACATCTGACTGAATTTTACATTTATTATCTCATTTGATCCTCATTAACAGCTCTGTGAGGGAAGCGCTATTATTATTTCCAGGGTTTTTTTTGGTTTTTGTTGTTCTGTTGATTTTCAGTCGTGTGTGACTCTTCTTGATCCCATTTGGGGTTTTCTTGGCAAAGATACTGGAGCGGTTTGCCATTTCCTTCTCCAGTTCATTTTACAGATGAGGAAACTGAGGCAAACAGAATTAAGTGGCTTGCCCAGGGTCACGTAGCTTATAAGTGTCTGAGGCCAGATTTGAACCCAGGAAGATGAGTCTTCCTGACTTCAGGCCTGGCA